TCAGTGATGAGCACGCAATTAAGGAAGTGGTGAACCAAGCAGACCTCAAAGCTACCTCCCCACCCACATTCACCAGAACAAAGGCACTTTCTCAAGGGACACTTTGATACAGCACTTTTTATACAGATTCTTCATTAAGGTCTATGTTTTTTAAAGTGCTCATTGCATATCTACAGGGCAATGTGGTTCCCGGGGCAATGTGGTATGAGAATGCCCTAGGATGCCGTTAAAAGTGTTGATTCCCAGGCTCTGCGACCTGGAGGTTGAAACTGAGTAGGCTCTGGGGATGAAAATGGGGAACGGACCTTTAAGGGATCTGAGACAGGGGCCTGCCTCCGTCATTGCATATCTACAGGGCAATGTGGTTCCCAGACCTCACTGGTATGAGAATGCCCTAGGATGCCGTTAAAAGCATTGATTCCCAGGCCCTGCGACCTGGAGGTTGAAACTGAGTAGCCTCTGGGGATGAAAATGGGGAACCAGGACCTTTAAGGGATCTGAGACAGGGGCCTGCCTCCTACACTGACAAACCCTGCTATCCGCTTGGTCTTCACATGCTCTTTACATCCAAGGAGGGAGCGGTTTTGCCTGTTCAAGATGCTCACTCTATTCACTGAGTCAGCAAACCTCCAAGGGGCAACCAATCACCCAAATCAGAGGCTGTGCTGGTTGTAATATAACATTTATTTTGTGATTATTTGATTAATCATTATCTCTTCCACTAGACTATAAGTTCCATGTGGGTATGGACTTTGCCAGTCTTGTTCACTGCCTAAAATAGAGTAGATGGTCAATGACCATTTGTTATCCCCACATTCACTGCTATATCCCCAAGGCCTAAAATAGAGTAGATGGTCAATGACCATTTGTTAAATGAATGAATTGAGTGAATGAATAATAAAATATATGCAAAGACAAATGAAACCAGTCCCTGTCTTCAATATGCTTACAACCTAGGTAGTTGGGCAGTAAACACATCAGTACAATAAAGAGTTCTTGTGTTTTGCCAGATGAGCCCCAGGCATGAGGCCACCATCTCCCCAGCAAAGCCGAACCCAAACTGGCTCAAGTAAGAAGATGACAAGACGAGATCATGAGGATTGGAGAGCTGACCTGAGCAGGGCTAAAAAAGGGCAAGTCAGATGGGAAGAAGAAGAGAAAAAACAAGAGGCACTCTGTCACCATGCAGACAGGCGGCAAAGGTGGTAACACATGAATTATCAATCACTGAGTGTCCACAGTGGGCCAGGACACCTGCTTTGTACTTCACATTTACATTTACTTTATCTCACTTAATAAGTAATCTATGAGATATCAATTATCAGCTCCATCTTACAACTGGAGAAACCGAGACTCAAAGAGGTTAACTCCTGTGACTATAAGAGCAGAGCTGGGGTTCAAACCTAGGCAGTGTGAGTCCATGGCCAGCGTTGTGTCACACTCTGAGCAGGCAGAATACTTTTCTCTGCAAGTGGACGGGAATGAAGGATCCAAGGAAGTGAGTAGAGAGACAGCTGGAAGACTTCCACGTATGAAGTTTCTCCAGAAGAGGCTATGACTGCCACCCTCTTTAAGCAGAAGCATACAGAGTTTGTTCTCAACATCGCTGTCCCAAGATGCTCCATCTTGATCTTAAATATCCTCTAAGGAATCTGATCACTAAAGGCTGGTCGGCCTAGGTGTCTCTCACATTATCACCTCTCTCCAGACAGTGCCTTAATTTCAGCCTCACCTGTCTTCTCCAGACCATGGCGGAAGCACCCTAAATAGAGAGACCCTAAATAGTCTCTCTTCCTCCTCTAATCTGCTCTCTGGCCAAGAGGAATCTTGGGAACTCAAATCTGGGCACCTCCCCCGCTGTTTGAAACCTTCAGAGCAGTGGTTTGCAATCATGACTGCTCATTAGAATCACCTGGGAAGCTTTGAAAACACACGCTCATGCCTGGCTTCACTCCCAAAGATTCTGATTTAATTGACCTGGGGCAAGGCCCAGACATGAGTACTTTTTAAAAGTTGCCTCAAGTGCTTGTAATGTGGATTCAACATTGAGCACTACTGCAGTTTAATAGATGATATGCCCACTCCTGAGCCAGGCATACTGAGCTCAAACTTCAGTCTCCTCTGCCACCATTCCTTTCTGCCCCCCTATTCAATATTCTAGCCATACTGGACTGCTGGTGAATCCACAGGGATTGCTTGCTATTTTAAGCTGCTCTTCTTCAACACATGGTATGGCCTTTGTCTGAAAGGCATCCTACCTCACTTTCTGGCAAACTCCTTAGTGTTCTTTATCCATTGGCCCCAAGGTCATCTCCTCCATGATATCTTCATGTGACTAGGTGCAATTGGCGGCTCCTTTCTCTGGGCTTCCATAGTACTGTGTACCTATCTCTGAATTGACATGTCTCTATTTTAATGAAACTATCTGTACAAATGACTCTCTCACCTACAAAAAAAGCAATAGATACAATGATGCTTTAGATACCTCTGTGGTCACTTCACATCTTCTTGGCCAACTTTTTAACTCCAGCTCCAGCCATGCCTTCTCATCTCTCTATTTCTGCCCAGGGTCTTCTCTCCTGCTGCCTAATAAGTAACCTGTGGTACCCACATACATGTGCAAACCCAGAAGTACCAGTGAGTTGACATCCAATGGGGCAACCCTTCACCAACAGGGAGAAGAACCAGGGAATAAATCCCCAGGGCAGATAATTCTGAAATGCTTTCTCCACAGCTTTTCAGAGGGTCCTGGTGGGATCAAGCCTCAGGTGCCCAATGTGGTAATCTGCTTATAACACTCTCTTGGGGAGGCTTTCTC